TTCCCAGCACCTACATGGCAGCTCAAAATTAACTCCAGTTTCAGTGCATCTGAAGCCCTCTTCTGACCTCTGAGGGCACCAGGCAGTCATGTGGGACACACACATACATACAGAGAAACACATTAAATAAAATGAGCATTTTTTTTTTCTTCTGACCTCTGAGGGCACCAGGCAGTCATGTGGGACACACACATACATGCAGAGAAACACATTAAATAAAATGAGCATTTTTTTTTTAAAAAAAAGGGCCTCTTTTTTGTCAGCTGCTTAATATATCTTCTTGAAGTTACACAGTATTTCTCTAACTTATTTAGGAAGTTTCCCTTTTATCTTTTCCCTTTTATTGTATGATACTACAATATCTATACTCATAAATATTTACTTACTTCTCTAATTCCTCAGGGAAAAGGAAGCTTTTGCTCGTGCTGTCAAATGACCTCTCAGGAAGGTGTTGTGTGTTATCGTACTCCCAGCAGTAGCAGTAGTGTGGCTCCTTCTCGTGCCCTCATCCATATTCATCCTCACAAATTAAGGAAACTTTTGCAATCTGATATAGTAAAAAACGTTTCTTCTCGGGCTGCTTAGCTCAGGTATTAGAGCATGATGCCGATACACAGCGCCTCATGCTGATCATTTGATTACTAGTGAGGTTGGCCATTTTTAGTTCATTTTATTTGTACACTATCCCTTTTTAGATCTTCTTTTCTCCTACCCTTTCCACCCCCTTTCCCCTTCTTCTCTATCCCTTCTCCCTTTCTTTTTTCTTTTTATGAGACAAGGTCTCCCTCAGTATTCCAGAAAAAAAATACAACGGTCATCTGATGTCTCAAGGACTGGAAAAGCACACACCTATAATTTCGGGCCATGGGTGGCCAAGGCAGAAAGCTCGGAAGTCCAAGGCCAGCTTCAGTTAGTGAGTTTGAGGCCAGCCTGGGCTACATGAGACTCAGCCTCAAAAATCAAAACACCCTCCCACAAAACAGAAAAAGTCTGATTTTACCACCAAACCCCCCTTTTATCACACAGTCTTCCTCATCCAGCAAATGGCATCACCACTTTCCAGTTTCACCAGCCAGAAACTAGAGTCACTTGATATATTTTCCTCCTATGTGCCACGTCCCATCTGTCAGCCAGTCCTGTTGTTTCTACAGCCAGACCACATGTTCTAGGTTTCTATTTAAATGCCATTGTGATAAACGTAAAAACTTAAGGGTCAGAAAACAGTTCTGTGTTGAGACTCTGGGACAAAAGGTGATAACAAAGAGCCATGAGAGCTTGGGGGAGCTGATGAAGTCTCCTATGCCTAGAGTGTACTGGTAGTCACAAAACTATGACTACTTGTCAAAACTCATACAAGTGCACACAAAAAGGACGGTTTATTAGAACTTTGTAAGCATGAGCTTTCTGGCCCATCAGGATCCCACCGCCCTTGAGCCCTAAATAAACACACAGATGCTATATTAATTATGAAATTGTTGGCCGATGACTAGGGCTTCTTATTGGCCACCTCTGTCTTAATTATTAACCCATTTCTATTCATCTAAGTATTCCCACGTGGTCTTATCGGAGAACACCTGGTGTGTCCTACCTTCCCAGTCTCCCATGGCATCTGCTGTCTGCCTACACTTCCCAGAATTCTCCTTATCTCCTAGCCCTGCCTATACTTCCTGCCTCATTGGCCACAGTGTTTCATTCATCAATAAGAGAAACATATATACAGAAGACATCCCCCATCAGACCTTAATTTAAATGTGGGGGGGAAATGCTGGCCATTTCTTCCTCATCATCTTCATAGCCATCTTTCTGAGCCAGGTGCCACCATAATCTTAGACTCTTGCTATAATGGGTTCCTCATTAATCTCCCTGTCCCCACACTCTTCCCAGCAGTTTCTTCCCAGCACAGTAGCTAGAGAGATGACTGGAAAAGACAAAAGCAAATTGTGTTATTCTTTTGCTTACAACTCTCTGGAAGTTTCTCTTCCCCTCAGAGAATGTCCTGTGTGAATCAGTCCACCACACCATTTCCCTGGCCTTATCTCCCCCAGGCCACCCACTCTCCCCTCCTCGTGCCTTCCCCTGTCCCTTTAAACATGCCTGAGTGGTTCTCCACAAACGGAAAGACAGACTTCCCACAATAGCTGCCAAGAGCCTCAATGACAGCCCTCTGCTACTTCTGCAGTGAACTGCAAGTAACTTTTCCTCATGTTCTCCAGGCAGCAGACCCCACTCCAGCCTGTGACTTGCTGTCTTGGGGGGGGGCTGCCTGTCTGGCCCTGGCTTCCCAATGATTTCCACTGGTGGAGAGGTTCCTCCCTCATCTCCAGCAGGTCTTAGCCCAGATAGCGTTTCCTCAGCCAGGCCTTCCATGGGAAACCCATTAGCAATTGAAGTCTAGTGCCCCAATGTGTAACTTTGCTTTTTGAGATAGTCTCTTGTATCTCTAGGCTTGTCTCAAATTCCTCCTGCCTTAGCCTCCCAAGTTCTGGCATGCAGGTGTGAGCCGCCAGGCCTGGTTTGGTATCTTCTGCCTTGTTTTTCTCATGGATCACATTTCCATCTGCTATACCACATACTTTGCTTATTGTGTGATTTCTCTGAATATCCACGAGGACAAAAGTTTTCGACTTATCCACAAGACCCTACCATTACTTAGGACATTGCTACTTTGCCTGGCAGTTAAATTGTACAGATGAAAGAAGAGGAAAGTCCCATCCATAAGCAGGGATTGTAACCTTATGGATAGACTTCTTACTGGCCCCAGATTTCACTCATCTCCCCCTATTTATAGCCACTGACAACATGGAATATCATACAAGTCTCTGGGTGCAGGTGTTTTGCTGAAGCCTTCCTCCATCCTGCTCTTCCTTTCTCTATTACTGCACTCACAACTGTGTTAACAGATATCTTTTCTCAATCTTTCCTCTAGAAGCAGATGTTCCAGGAGAGGAGTAGCCGGATGCTACAGGCCTTATCTCCGAAGCAGAGTCCTGTGAGCAGCCCAACCCGGAGCCGGTCCCCTTCCCGCTCCCCATCCCCCACCTTCTCATGGCTCCCAAACAAGAGCTCTCCCCCCTCCTCACCCAAAGCAGCCTCAGCCTCCATCAGCAGCATGAGTGAGGGGGATGAGGATGAGAAGTAAAGGTGCCTGGCCAACAAGAGCCACACCACACAGGATAGGAGGGGGTCCCGGGATGCCTGGGTGGTGGTAAGAGCTGCAGCTCAGCGGGGAGATGGGAGTTCTGCCATGGGAAGGTACTGGGGCCAGCTCCTTTTCCTTCTCTGGACAGCCTGGCCGGGGCTCAGCATGGAGGTTCCCAACCTGAAAGCCCATACAAACCTTCTTAGCCTCATAGAATCAGCCCACTTTAGCCCTGCTATGGAAAGGTGCAGAGCACTCCATGAAGTGGGGTGGGTTCTGCGTTGGTCCACATGTCCATCCATATCAAATAAGCCACCGCAGAAGTGGCTGCTGCCTCACCCTGCTCTCTCCAGCCCTCTAAGAGCCTTGCACGTTGCCTCCTATCTCCCATGCTCTCCCAGAATGAATACCCTTCCAACTGACGTGGCTAAGTACTTCCGAAATGGGCAAGTGAAAGACAGTCCTGCCTTTCAGTTAAGCCACTAAGGCCTGATGATGCAATTGTCAACTCTTTCCCGTTCCAGGACCATGACTCAGACCCAGCTTTGCTTTGTCCAGATAGAAAAATGTGAACCTTAACTTCTCATTCAAAGGACAGTTTTGTCAAGGTGAACTCTACCTAAGGCCTGACATGCTTCTGGCTGTACTTTTCATCACTGGCATGATGACACCGTTTTTCCAGAAATTACCCGAATCGATGGGACTCACAAGGAAACCTGTCTTGTCTAAACAGAAATAACCAAACCAACCAGGAGCTGCTTTGCTTTGGCTCCATGTATGGAGGATAAAAATATCTCTTGGAGCTTCTTAAAGGAATGGCTCTTTCCATTTCTGACCACTTCACAGTTCATGGTCCTCGAGTAACAGTTTGATGTAACATTTAGTATACCGATAGGGGGTGCTACCTGCACGTATCTGTTCTATGTATCCTCCAAATATGCCACCCCAGGGTGTATACCATATGCAACAGGAATATATGGTGGTGGTATTTGACTATATACTCCTCTCCTGCTCTCCCTGATACCCTGCTGAAGCGCTTGGTCTATAGAATCACCTGTCCTCATGACTTGGGCACTTTGTCAAAAGCTCAAATGTTAGATTCCTGGAGAAATGTTTTGTCCCAGAAAATTCCTGTTGTTCTTCACCTGTGAGACATTTTGGGGAAAGGGAAGCTCCGAAGAGTCTTGCAAATATTGAAGGCTCAGTCCTTCAAATGGTCTAAGAGACGCTGAAGGTATTTCTGGCCCTACCTTCTCTGACTGGGGTGGAGACTCTCAGATTGCTGTAGAACTGTTTGGAGCTACTGTCCCCTAACTACGTGCAGGGAATGAGCAGGTGCAGGGAAGGTTTAGAGCCAATCTGTTAGGTACAAATGAAGTTCCTGATTTTCCTAGTAAAGTCCGGCAGTACTGGGACTTGACAGAATGAAGCCTGAAACCTGGAACTGGTAGGCAAAGCCCATCACCTCTGGTGGCAGAAGCATCCCTTTGTTCAGAGGCTTTGGAGAAAAGCCTTCTGGGTGGCAATCAGTGGAGAAAGCACCCTGTCTTTCCCCTTGGTGTTGGGGTTGAACTACCTGAAGATCAGTGGTGACTGTTGCAAAACGAAACTGTGAGACTCAACCAATTTGGAGCCTCCTTGTTCCTGGCACTTCTTCCAGAATTCTGTAAAGTGCCCATGAAAGACAGGGAGTTGGTGGGAACGTGGCTCGAGAGAAAAAAAGTTCTTTTCATAGTCAAGGCCCTCTCAGAGTGTCACTCTTCAGAAGAAAGGGCTTACACTCTTCCATCGTGTCTGTTTGATTGCCTTCCATCATGCACCCAGGACAAACCGTGCATGTATGCCTTCCATTTCAGCCAGATGACACTTGTGGCAGTGAAAGGACAAGATGAACCGAGCAAATGAAGCCAGTGAGGACAAGAGAAGAGGAGAAGAGAGGATCCTAGAGAGAGGAAAGAAAGATACAAGAAAATCTGCTATCTTAGGGCACTTCAGGTTGTATGTGGGGAACTCTCTTTGATGAGGCCTTTTTAAAATGCCCTGACTCCATGGCCCAGGGTAGAGAAATCCACTTTTACCTAAGTTTTGCTCTGAGGCCGACAGTATAGGATATATCAGGTGACTATAATTTTGCAGGCCCTAAACAGCATCTTGAAAAGTACCACACACATGGCTCATCAAAGGCCCATTGTAGCTATGAATGATGGGAAATGACCAACCCCAGACTCATTCCAGCTACAGGCCCAAATAACTCAGAAGTGGGTTTAAAACTCCTTCTCATTTCCACCAGCACCCCCTCATTTTCCTAACGTCACAGCCTTCCACAAACAAATGGAGCATTCTGCTATCCAACCTTTAGCCCTTCTTGGCCATCTCTCAGTCCTTCTCAGCCCCTCCTCTGCCTAGCCTCTCTCCCACCTAGCAGGAGCTGGGATTGAATCATTCAGTCATTGCTCATGACCAACAGTGAGGGAAGGATGTAATGAGAGCATAAAGTATGCTACAAGCTTAGAGAAGTAAGCAGAAACGATAAAAAAAGGAAAAAAGGTTCTTTTTGCTCCAGAAAGAGAAAGAAGTAACTTAGGGAATTCGATAGGTTGGGAATGGGAAGATGGAAAAAAATGAGACTAAGTTGGTGAGTATGGGAAGATTTGTACTTCTGCTTTCCTTCCAAGTATCACTAGGCCCCTAACCGAGTGAAGGAGGAAGCCTTCCTATTATATATACTTCCATGGTTAGTGGATCCCCATGCAGCAGGCGGGGTCCTGGCCTCTCCAGCCTCTTTGGCATATTAGCATATCCCCTGCCCCCTGAAACCAAGTGCTAACCCCCTTCATGTAAACAATAGGGGTGGAGTTATAATGTGATAGTCACACTGAATGGCCCATTTCTGTCAAGAAACTTCACTGTCAGGATGTCTCAGAGGCAGAGATGACAGCCGTGGTGTGGCTTGTGACCTGCTGTGGGTTCAGGAGACTCGCCACTCTACGACCTAGACTACAAGATATTACAGTTGCACTGATGGCTTGCAGCTACAGGAAGAACACAGTTGATTTTGCCTCCAGCTTCAGGACTTACGTTCATGCTCAGTCCTACCCCACAGATGAGCTTGTTATTCAGGCCATCTGCTCAGCACCAGTCCTGTCCTGACCATCTGAGAAGGAAGGAAGGAAGGAAGGAAGGAAGGAAGGAAGGAAGGAAGATGAGTGAGCTCAGCAGGCATATTTTTACTTCTCCTCTTCTCTAGTTTTCTGTTGTGTCACTGCAGTGTGTCTGGGGACAAAGCCATAAGAACAGCATATCTACTTAAAATTCTGCTGTACATATATATAAGACGATGATGACTCATCTGGATTCAAGAATGACCTTATGCCCAAGCATTTGCTCTGGTGCTGAATAGTGCAAACTACTGGAATCACCCTGCCCCCACCAGCAAAACTCCTAAACCCTCTTCCCTGCGCCCAAATGGATCACAGTATTCCCAACTTGTTTATAAATAAAGGGACGCAGAGTCACACTTCTGTTGCTGTGTTTATTGTGTGTTGCTGTGTTCCTATCTAGGAGCTCCAATTGAATGTGGCTTGTAGCAGTTGTCCTGGGCTACTGGCTGCCCAGCTGTGGCTTCAGCACTTGGAAGGCTCTTGTCTTGCTTTCTGCTAAATGGAGCCAAGTTTTGGAATTGGCAAATGGCTCGCATCTTTACTTACAACCTAGGCCCAGACCCACCTGAGAGGAGGTCAGGACTGAATTATAGCTGTCACCACTCACTTGCTTTGTGACCTTGATCACACCACTTCACTTCTCCAGTCTCAGTGTCTGTTCTCATCAAATAAGGGAGTTTGAGGCAATAGCTTCTGAGGTCTCCTTTGCCAATAAAGCACTACGGATCTGTGAGGTAGTCTACATTGTCCCCCAGCTTTTCTAAACTCCCACGCTGGTCAGGAAGAAGGGATTACTCCCCACAAAGTAGAAAGCTCCCTGGGACTTCCACAGACAGAGCATTGGTGATCTTGCTTCAACATTTGTAGCATAACGATAAAAAAGACTCTCAGGTTCCACCTACCTTGCTATTTTCTTTAATTTTTAACATTAGCATAAGATGGATTTCATTATAGCATTTCTTATTTTGTGTGTATGTGTGTGAATGTTCATTTGTATGTAGGTGCACATGCCCATTTGTGTGCATACATGTGGATGCCTCAGGTTAACATTGGTGTTGTTCCTCAGATGCCATCCATATTGTTTTTAGAGGCAGGGTCTCTCACTGCTCTGAATCACAGCCATAAGCTAGACTGGCTGTCTTCACCTCTCCAGTGCTAGGATTACATGTGTGCACCACATCTGGTTTTCGTTGTTGTTTAACGTGGATTCTGGGGGAATCAAACTCTATTGTGCTATCTCCCCAGCTCCTCATTATAGCAATTCTATACATATTTGTAATTATACGTTGTCCTCATTTGTCCCCTTCCCGTTCTCCTATTTTCCCTCTCACTTGTATTATTTCTTTTCTTTCCAACTATTCTGCTCTTATGTTTTCATGTCACATGTATTCCATTCCCCTCTCTTATTTCTCCTCCCACTTTTATATCTCTTTCCCCCCTGTATGGGCTCCATGTTCAATGAGAGACCATGTTTCAGAAAATAAGGTTGAAAGCAATTGCAGAAAGACACCCAATGACAATCTCTGGTCTCCATATGCACACATACACATAAATACTTACGTAAATTTATATACAGACTGTGTAAGCCCCTTGATGCACATGAATGACCAGGCCTCTCCCTGAGGACCTCCAACTGCCAGGTTCTACCTACAAGAACACTCTAACTGCTCTAATGGCTGGGACCCAGCCCCCTCCCTACAGAGTAAAAAGCCCAGTCTCAGAACTTGAAATCCCAACAATCCCCACCCTGGAAAGTTCTGCCCCCTCCAACACTGACCTGCCTTCTGCTCAGTTCTCTGATGCTTCTCAGCCCAAGCTGAGGCAGCCACTCTCCTGGGGGTTTCCCATCCAATAAATCTCTCATGTGAGGTTTGTTGTGCAGTGTAACTTTGCGGTATTCCTTGGCTCCCAACTACCAGGATATCTTTCCCCTCAGAGGTGTAACACACATTCTGCATATAAAAAAAACATGTGATATTTGTCTTTTTAGAGAACACACACACACACACACACACACACACACACACACACACACACACACACACACACACACACAATCAAATTCGAAAACCCTAATCATTCAATCAATTAATGGGCTAATGAATTAACTGGACAGTTCTCAAAATAGATATAAATGGCCATTAAATATTAGAAAAGTGTCCAATATTTTCAGCCACAGAGAAATGCAAATTCTAACTTCCTTGACATACCATCTCACTTCTGGAAGAATGGGTTACCGTTCAGAAAACAAAAAACAAATGCTGGAGAGGATGTGGGGAAATGAGAACTTATGTTCACTGTTGGTGGGAATATAAACTATAAACTGGTACAACCACAATGGAAATCAGTATGTTGGTGCCTCAAAAACTGAAAATAGAATGCTTTTCAAGCATAGCTAGACTTTGGCAAGTAGCCAATTCAACCACTTTCCTATTTTTAATCCATTGGAAGCGCATAGACGGATGCAGATATGCTAAATCATGCTTCCAAGTGTCAACACTGAAGGGAGGTGTGGCTGTTAAGAGTTTTGTGCTATTGCCCCAACCAATTCAGGAGCTTTCATTAACTCCATCTGGTGCTGGTTAGCTCTGTGAAATGACTGCAGCTAACATTAGCATATGCTCTAAAATAAAGCAAATGTATATAGTCAATAAGGGGAGAAATTTTAAAATAGGCCATAATACTTAGATTTACCACACAGATCAGATATATTCTTTTTAAAATTCACTCTTGAAAATATACAGATACATTTTTTTAAATTTATTATATAGACAGCTTTCTGCCTGTAGGCCAGAAGAGGGTACCAGATCCCATTATAGATGGTTGTGAGCCACCAAGTGGTTGCTGGGAATCAAACTCAGGACCTCTGGAAGAGCAGCCTGGGCTCTTAACTGCTGAGCCACCTCCCCAGCCCCAATCAGATACATTCCTAACAAGCTGTAATTAAGTAAATTCTTGGTTTCTTCTTGACTTCCAAGATACCTCAGACAAGTTCCTATGGGAGAAACCGTACATTCTATTCTATCACAAAACTCATGTACACCATCAAAAATATTTATATACACGCGTCTTTTGCATTGGCGTCCTCACTGGCTACTTAAGTTGAATATCTGAAAGACAACTGCAAGTATTTAGACAGCTATGGTGACACTTTTCTTTCTTTCTTGTAACTTTTCATTTTTTCTTGTTTCTGTTATATCATGCACCTCTATCCCATTCATTCCCCTGCCTTCATAATTGCCCTCTGCCCTAGCAACCTGTGCCCCCCACCAATAAAATAAAATAAAATTTAAGGAAAAAAGAAAAAAATGAAAGAAAAATATCATCATGGAAGCTGCAGTATGACATAGTGAGGCACGAAGTAAGCCCCTTTGTCCATATAGCTTTACTTGTAAGTGTTCATTGCAAAGAGTCATTGGTCTGGTTTGAGGCCTCTGGTTTCTGCTACACTATCGATGCTGAGCCCTCACTGGGACTCCTCTTGGATATCCTGCCGTTGTCCTGTGTTGTGGAGATCCTGTAACCTTGGGTCTACAGGACTGGCCCCTTCATGTGCTCCAGCAGATCACAGAAAGGGTAGATGTTGGGATGGGCCAACCCATAGCCCTGGTTCTGAGCCTGGGTGGTTGCTAGGTTGGTCAGCCCTCCAGCTGTCCCCCATCCTCACCACCAGGGTGAGCTCTCCAGCATCGCTCTGGCTAGTTCATCCCATGCAGCAAGGAACAAGGAGTGGGACCAGTTCTCCTGCTTTCAGGCGCTCAGAGTCGCCTTATCCACACCTATACCACCAGGGCCAGCTCTACTGTGCTGCTCAGGAGAGGTACAGGACCCACTCTCCTGGTGAGGGGCTGGGTCAGCTCCCCACTTCCCACAGGAGGTGAGGGATGGGGGAAGGGCATCTTTCCCTCACTCATGCCACCCCATGGCAGACAAGGGCGGCCTTGGCTCCTACTCTCAAGCCCTCAGGACCATCTCACCCACACCCCCAGCACAAGATCAGGTCCTTTGTGCTGCCCAGGCATGGTGTAGGGTCTGCTCTCCCTAGTGCTGTAGCCAGTGAGAAGCTGGACCAACTCTGTGCAGGCCTATCCTCTCCGCCTTTGGTTGTAACAGGAGCTACAGACATCAACATAGACTGTGCTGCATCAGGGCCACAGACCCAGACAACAGCCCAGGCCTGGGCATCACCACGGTCCCAGGTGGCAAGCAGGCCACCAACCTCAGCCCACTCCTCACCACCTTCACCTCTTCACATCTGCTTCTCTTCACAGGACATGAACCATTCTGTCTCTCTCTCCCATACCCCACCATATACTTGCTCACTGTAATAGTGTCCGACCACCTGTCTGCAAATCACTAGGTGGACCCATGTTTTCCTCCTTGGAACCCAGGGCAGGGGGGTGGGTCCCACTCAGTCATAATGGCGATGGGCAGGGTTGCGCAGGCTCTCTTTTTTTGTTATTTTTTGTTTTTGTTTTTGTTTTTTTTTTGAGACAGGTTTCTCTTTGTTGACCTTGTTGTCCTTGAACTCATTCTGTAGACCAGGCTGGCCTCAAACTCAAATATCTGCCTTCCTTTTGTCTCCCGAGTGGTGGAATTAAAGGACTGCACCACCACCCAGTGACACTTTTTGAACTATATGACAATTCACATATATAGAAGTACACCCAGGGAACAAATTCATTAAGAAACCACCAAATGCTGGGCGGTGGTGGTGTACGCCTTTGAGTCTAGCACTTGGGAGGCAGAGGCAGCAGGCAGATCTCTGTCTGGTCAACAGAGTGAGTTCCAGGACATCTAGGGCTGTTACACAAAGAAACCCTGTCTCTGAAAAACCAAAAGAGAGAGAAAAAGAAAAGAAAAAAGAAACCACCAAATACCCAGAAGTAGTGGCCTTGAAGTCACAATCTCTCTACTTCTATCAAGAGTTGGTATTGCAAACATACATTGCTATGCCTGCTAACTACTAAATCTTTTTTTCTCATTAGAAACAATAGCAGAGATTTCCTTTGCAACAGTCTTATTTAACAGCTACCAGCGATGATCTTGCTTAAATGTTTCTTGAACTGTGATGTTCACAGACAAGAGTGAATGGGACAGGTGTAAATGGGGATGTTTTAGCCAAGTAAGAAGTTGTCAGTAAATATTTGAGTGGGTTACTGGGTGTTGGGAACACAAAAGCCCCAAGGCATATAATCTTTGTGGTTTGTTAACTTAAGTTCTGTCTCTCCTATCTGTCCTTACCTTCAGTTCTTAATGAGATCTTAAGGAAAAGTTCATGTTTGGAGCAACGCAAGCTTCGGATTCATGCATTCCTGTAATGCCAGCACTTAGAGGCTAGCAGAAGGACTGCCACAAATCTGAGGCCAGTCTGGGGTATAAAGCAAGCACCAGGCCAGCCTGAGGTGCATGGCAAGAACCTGTCTCCAAGCAATATATGAAAAACTATTCTGACTCCACTGAGTAAGATTTAGAATTATCTTACCAACTTACCAATTGTACTAATCTCTTTGGAATACAGCACTCTAACTGTAGAGTGCGAAGATTTCCAATTCTCACTCAGAATGAAGGAAAAATAAAAAAACTAAACTTTAGAAACATTTCCTATTTGAAAGTATTCTTGAGTATGTTGAAAAGAGGAGACTGGCAATATTATCCCACATCTAGGCCCATAAATATCAGAAAGGCTACCATGTACTCCCAAAGCTACTGTTGACATACATGCTTTCCTTGAGGACCTTGAGTAAGCCTAGGCATCTCTGAGAATAGCCCAAAGTCTCTTTGATGGATGAAGTGCACATCCTAGCTCTCATCCTAGTTTTTTTTTTTTTTTTTAATCACACAATGTCTGAAAGGCTCCCTCAACTGAATAACAGGACATTCATTTACCTTTACCAATTGTTTCATTACCAGGTTTAGGAAGAACAGTTTTCATACAGGAAGCTCCATTCCCATTACTGTGCTAAGGTACCAATAATTAGAAAACATGACACTAGCTTATTAAGCTGTTAAAAGAACTGCTGAGGAGTTGGAGAGAGGGCTCAGACCTTAACTGCATTTGGTGCTCTTCCAGAGGACTGGAATTTGGTTCCCAGCAACCACGTCAGGGGGCTCACAGATCCCTGTCACTGCAGCTAAAGGGGATCTGATGCCCTCTTCTGGTCTCCTTGTGAACCTGCACACATGTAACAAGCATTCATAGAGACACATACACATAAATTTAAAAAGCAAATTTTAAAGTAATGTCGAACGCTTCAACATCTAGTACAGTTGTTGAAATCACTAACAAGTTTACTTTTACTGAGGACCAACAGATTCTGCTTGGACAAGATGCAGGGAATAGAAAGTGAGTAATGTCAGCCTACCTTAGACTTCTGTGAACAGAAGGAAGCAGCGAGGCCATGTAGTTTCAGACCCAAGCCGACAACACCTTTTCTTTTTAGCTTTCCAATCACCAGTTAACAGAGCACAAGCAGTGTTGCTGTGCCAGAGAGGTGGGTTTGCTACCAACACTGTAGCTGCTCTCAAAGGCCATGCTCTAACAGGCACTATCTATCAGCGGTCTGCAACATGTGAGCGTCACCCAAGGGTGCTCTTCCAATGAGTGAGTCTGGAGTGAAGACCAGGTCTCAGAGATTCAGACATGGAACCAGGTCAAAAGCCTGTGGGCTACAGTAAATACTTCATCTCAGGGAATGTGTGCCTGGGAAGAGCTGCCTTGTAGACTGTGGGGAGCAAAGATGAGCCTTGTTCTGCTGCAAGATGACAATAGAACCAAACCCAGTACCGTTGAGTTATTTTCTTATACAAAGGGAGACTGTTATGCTGATGATACCATCCGTGCTCAGGGAGGCCAAGGATAGACCAACATGTGGGAATGACAGTTGCCATCAAGCACCTAGGCCAGTGACTGGTAAAAAAAAATAGGTACTTAATGTTGTTTCTGAAAATCCAATAGAGGAAACGGCTGTAGATGGATATTTGTTGCCACTAGCAAAGGGTAGCTACATTTTAAAAATAATGAAAATTCAAAAATGCTTTTCAGTTGCAGTAGCCACATTTTCACTGCTGAGGTAGCCAGTGTCAACCTGCTGACAGCACAGACACAGAACAAGAACACCAAGGCAGAGTTTAAGTGGTGGAGGTTAGTCTACAGGAACTGCTCCAGAGGGCAATCCTGTCTACATAGTGCTTTATGATTTATTCATGTGATCAAAGTGTTAATCTGTGTATTGTTATGAAGTGAACATCTGAAAACATTATCAGCAGATAATCACTTGTGAGCATGCATTATGAAGTCATTTGGGAAGGATTTGGAAATGAAGGACAAGAAAATAAAAACACAACACAGCAGCATAAATCTCGGCAGAAACTTCACGGGGGACACAATCTTGAGCGGAAGACCCTCTTGGGCCTGAATTCAAAACCAGGACAGGAGCAGCTGCTACAAGAGCGCAGTTTCCAAGACATGAATGACGTCTAGTAAAATGGCTGACTCTTGGTAAAGTACAGATGTAAAAATTCAGAAACCGAAACTCACTTCTAAGAGTTTTGCATTCTTAAGGCAAAATGGGTAACATATAAGTAGCTGAATTTTATTTGGTGTTTTGAGACAGGATCCCATCTAGCTCAGGCTGATCTTGAATTCACTATGTAGCTGAGGATGACCTTGAACTCTTTATCCTCTTGCCTTTACCCACCAAGTGTTGGAATTACAGATGTGTGCCACTGTGTCTTGCCTAAGTACTGATTACTAACCACTTAGGTTTCTTTTTAAGGTAAGGGCCTAAGAACCCATGTAGTCCAACTCCATAATTTTATAGGGGAAAAAAACTCACTTAACAGAACCAACTAGTAAGAGATCGTGATTTCTTAACCCCCTTAATAATCAATTGTAACTGTTTTCTATTAATACACAATAGAATGACTATGTGGCTTTTGTATTAAATTTGAAAACAACACCCCTTCACTACTGACTCCTTACTATGACTGACACACTTCTAAGTCAAAGGAAGAATCCATGTTTTTATCTAGGAAACACATAATTGCACCTAAATATATTTGGGGGCAGTGGGATTGCTGCTGCTACATTCCCAAGAGACAGCACGGAAGAAATGGTCCTTTAATTGATATCGTCACGTTATCTTCAGAACACTGTTGAAGAAGCTCCCAAATTTACACTTCTACAATCATTCTTCTGAGCCATAACTCTGGGAAATCTGAGTGGAGACAGTGAAGAGAAAATCTAGGGCTTCATATTTACTCATTGCACATAATTCTGGTGTGGGTGGTTTGCCCAAAACAATCCAGTTTATATCCATTTACACAGTCTACAACCTAATAGTGTTCCTTTTGCTCAAAAGGGTCCTGACTGGACATCATATGGTCCACTTACCCATGCACATGGACCATATTTAGGATGATGCCATGGGAATATATACTGGTGTGCATTTCCTGTGTTTTATACATAGGATGGGTTTCCCTAAAAATGGGATTTCAGTGTTCTTTGCTACAGAGAACCCAACTAATTGATTTTTCACTTTGATCAATCAAAAGAACTTGCCAGTGTCCTTGTGCATCCAGGCAACTTGCAAGGCACATGCTGCTGCTTACGTGTTAAATTTCAGAAACAGCAGGCAAAGTTTATCTCCTCGAGAGTGATGAGAATACAAACCACAGAGAGCTCAGAAACCACCACACTAATGAGCTGTGAAAAACAACTGCCGTTTTATTGTTCTGGTTACCAGGGTACAGAATTGCCCATGAGGCAGGATAGGTCTCGTTATGACAAACAACAGATTGCTCAGCAACTCATGAGGAGCATGGTACAAGCCACACAGGTCTCTGGTTGTGTTTTTCCAACAGTCACAACACACTTCTCTCTGTGGAACACAGAGTGACAAATGACCCCATCTACTCATTCTTCATTCATGACAGCATAACTTATGGGGCCAAGCTTCATTCTGTGAACCACGAGGTTGCTCGGAAACTGTGGACATGTGTGTACATTCATCACTGGGACTACTAGGTCAACAGAGGCACAGAGTGAATCAGGTCAGACTTGAACTTAGGGGTACAGACTGCAACAGACATTTATTACATGTGTAAGTTAATATTTGTCCCTTATCAAACCAGCAATTACTCCATTTAGACAACACTAATAAGTCAAGGAGTTACAAAGAGAACCTGGCAAAACCTTGAACTTTTCACTCACGCCTCTTCTGCCTAGTTGAAGCATCTCCCAGACATTCCAAACTTGTGTTCTAAGGAAGCAGTCCCAATTCAAGCACTTGGGTGGGAACTTGGAACAGCAGATGCTCTGTTTATAACCCTTAAGCAGCAGTAATGACTTCAGATACTGTCAAAGCACAAATTCTGCAGAGATGAGGGTTAGCCATCCATTTTTTCTAAAGGTGTCATTGTCCAGGACTGACTCACGTACAATTCAAGCTCCAATCCTGAGTATAGGTTTAGGAGAGAAGGGCCTATAGCAATAGCAAAGGGGAAACTGTGGAGACAAGAGGACCCAATTCCTGCATCATGCAGTATAACTCACAGTAATTTGTTTCCTCTGTTTCCAATGCTAGGGGTTAAAGCCAGGCCTCCACATATGCCAGGAAAGTGCCCAACCACTGTGCTACATCCCCAGCCCAGTTCCCTGCAAATTTGAAATCACTTACTGCTTTATATTATAGGTAAACTTTGCCTTTGCTGTCCACCTGAGTCGATATACTTATTAGTCTCCAAAACTTTTATTGGTCTAAATCATCTGCCAGATCTAAAAGGAACATTTTGATGTGAAAAGCAACTAAATGACGTTGTGTTTTCCCCCAGGAAGTTATATAAATACCCAATAAGAGAGGGAACAGATACAGGGCCTTTTATGCTGTGCCTTCTATTTTCCTTTTCTCGCTGGATAAACAGCTGGGAAAAGCTGCTTCCTGAAAGGACTTGCCAAGTGAAGCTGCAAGATCCAGCCTGGTCCCTCTTTAGTGGCAGGCAGTCTCAAGCCTTCTCATATCCCTATAGTGACAGGCTTCAGTTGTCAATATGCTCACACATGCTAATTAAACATGTGGGATCATAAGCTCAACATTTAAGTTAAAGGCATGAGCCAGATCTTCCTAAAGGTAATGATTTTTAATTTAAAAAAATTAAGATTTAGGTTTTTCAAAATAGGTTAAATGACAAAAAGAAAATAGAAATTATGTGAAAGGGCTGCTATAATGTAAACAATATCACATTTGGTACCACCCTGACATCGAAAACTTTCTGGATTCAGCATGGCTAAATGCCGACTGCCATTGACGTATCACAGTGAACTTTCACAATTTCTTTGTGGCTATCATGCATCAATATCCAAAACAAAGTTCATACTGAACATTAATGTATTTTTTCTCTCTCTCAAGAATCTGAAGGTAAGATCATTTTAAACATGAGTAGTTTTGCTATAATATGCATTCTGTTGGAACTGCAGAACAGTTAGACCAGCCATACCTGTCAGACTTTGGTATCTTTTTACTGAGCAAACTGCAAGGCCAGCATTGCTTAGTTACCAGACATATGGGATCTTCAACATTTACAAAAGTTATCCAGAGCATTTAAATTAATAGGCCACTTTTAAAGGAAGTCAGAATTACTTAATGGGATGCTCTTTTAAGTGAAAGCTTACTATCGTAAAAGGATCCTGTTCCAAAGGAGTATAGAACCTTCCCTGAAAGCCACTACACAAATGGCCAAACAGAACCAAACTGCAGGGGGTTTCTGTGAAAATCTCAAAGGGTGTTAGACCCATCTCTGTCCTACACAAAGGAAATTTGGGTGTCACTTCTTGCAAAAAGGACAAGTTCAGGTTTCCTGGGTAAGCTTATATTGCTGAGACAATACCTTTGAAACTCTCACTGTGAAATTCAGACACATACCACAATATGAACAAAACAGTTGCAGATCTTCTCAGAGTCTGTTCCCTGAGACAGGCAAGCTGAAAGATAAGCCTTTACTCAAAAAGAAAGAACATCTAAACCCAATTTGATCTAAGTCTTCTCTTTTTTTTTTCTTGTAAGTGAACACTTGCTGCAAAGGCATGCCTGGGTTACATGCTCTCACACTCTCTCCCCTGATTCTTCACGTAAAGCCACAGTTTGCTAAAGAAATAAAAAGATAGTTCTCATCATTTAAACAAACAAGCTGGAATCCGAAGAGAATTCACTGGAAGGAAACTGTAATTCTTCATTTTTGCAAACTATAATAGGAAAAGTTAGAGCAAGCTTAATGGAAGCCTGTAGTGATTAGAACTTTTAAAGAATGCAAGTATAATTTGGTACTTTTGAAAAACAGAATGTGAAAAACAAATCCAAAATACCTCTCTATGTAAATTAAAGCTCAAGCCATGGTATTGAAAATTAAGATGATTTACATAATCTACTATCCTGTGTTTTTTAGTAATTAACCTTCCTGAGGCTGATTCTGTTCTCCTTGCTGTTTGCTTAGCTAAAATGCTTAATAAAATTTTTACAGAATATATTACCCTCTCCATAGATGAATACTATTTTGAACTACAACCTGACAAAAACCTAACGACATTTAATTATGCTTGATTAATCCAAATGTCACTGAGATTTATAGGAGAGACTTTTTCAGGTTAAGTTCATATTCCTCTTTACTGTACACATCCCAGATCTACTCTTCTCAGACTATCTCAGCTCTCTAGTGGTTTCTAAATTTCAGCAAAAACCCCACAGTCCTAACTGGACCATGAGACTCCACAGTTCAGCTTTCTTTCTTTTCACTTCCAAGGGACCTATGGACAGACTCCATCAAAGGCTGATAGCACCATTTTGAATTGGTTGGTGCTGTGCCTGTAGTCACCTTCACTTAGCAAGCATGCAGAGAACTAGGGTCAGTTCTGCAATTTGGGTAGATTTCTGTACAGTGAAATGTACATATGGGATATCTTGACTTCATTAAAATACTCAAAGGACACTGTGAGATGAGAGGTGCTTTCCTTTAACTTTCTAGAACTACCAAATGTATGGAGACTTTCAGTACTGATGCTCCCAGATAATTTTGTGATGGAAAATCAGGCAGTTTAAAGGGTGAGAAACTGGATCTACTATGGACACTATTAAATTGACTCTATCCCCTTCTCCAACCAGTCAAAGCTCTCACTGCTGGCTCACTCAGATCTGTCCCAAGGAGGCAGAGAGCTGGGCAAGGAGAACAAGCCCCCACTGTGGCTCGAATACTCCCTCTTAGGGCAAGTGAATTTTCTGCCAGGAAGCTGTGTGGCATACACCAACTGTCAGCCCATGTTCTGGCCACTTCAAACTCTATCATGGAGATAGGAGGAATTCATGTCCCTACTTCAGAAACAGAAATATGGACATAGAGGTTTCTCCAGACTTCTGTGGCTGGAATACGACCTTCATTGTGGCAAGTGAACATGGCTGGTATCAGCTGTAGACTTCAGAGGGAAGCCTTCTTGGATGCCCTTCATCCACTTCTGAAATGAGCTGATGTGTTAAACAGGGCCCCCTCCTGACCAACAGTGATTTTAACCCTAGTCTCATTATCCAGATACTTCTAAACTTTGAACTAAAACACTATGTGGGACCTAGAGATTGAACTCACGTCATTATCAGTCATGATGTCAAGCACCGTTATAGCTCAGCCCATCTCACTGGTCCTTAAATGGTCATATTTCTGAAGTCCTACAAAGATGTATCAAAATCTATAGCAAGTTTTTTGTTACAAATAATCAAATGGCAGCCCTTATTATTCCATGAGAGTTGATTGTGCAAGCTGTCCCCTGCCCCCGTTGGCCAGGGAGACAATGACTGGAATGGGCTCAGTACCATTATCTATCTACTGAAGCTGTGGTACAAGGACCTCAGTAGGGATCGTGCTGAGTAGAGAGTGAAGAGCCAAGCACAGAAGACCGACTCTCAGACTTCAGACGTATAGATTGGGAAATCATGAACACTTGCTTCTCTGAAGAATACACCTGTCCTTTATGAAATTGAAGTCTTTCACTTTCCCCACAGTAATTGTTTCCAAAGTGAACCAGGAAATTACTCTATCTTGTCCCTATGAGAACAGGGGTTCACGAGGCAGGGATTCCACACTGCTTTCATCACTGTCACATGCCCAGAATCGAGTACAGTTTCCAGCATGTGGTAGGCACAATATATTACTGAAATCGAAGACTGAACCTCATTATCTTCCTTCCCATGACTCCTCTGTCTGCCCCCTTCACTTCCAGTGTCCCTTAGCTGAGGACAGCTGTGTTCAATCATCTATTCCACAGCAGCACAGCCCAAGGCAGAGTGACCTCAGGGAAATGCCCTGCCTCATGCATGGTTTGGTAGATAGTACAATGCTATCGTTTGTGGTCCTTGATGGTTGTATGAGCGCTCTGATGGTGACAAAGTTTGCTGCTGGCTGTCTACTAGAATGTCTGGCTACTGAGGCAAGGAAGTTTCAGAATTATAAGCATTCCAAATAACCTCTTACTCCATGATCTACCTGCAAATACACTTTCCAAAATATTATCCCATGGTCTTCTATGATAGGCCCAGACCTACAAACTGCTTGAATGCGTATTGACAAATAGCATGAATAAGCCATAATGAAGCCTTTGTGCCTCTTTCCTTACATCCTTCCCTCCCTTCTTCAGCCTGTGTTCTTCCTCCAATTCTTCCCCTTCTTCCCTTTTTTCTTCCTTTCCTCTCCTTTCACACAGGTTTTCAGGGAAGCCTTACATTTACTTCTGCCTTCAACTCCTGCAGGCTGGGATTACAAGACTACCTCAGTAGGACCAACAGAGATTTCTATTTCTTAAAGAACCACATTTTAAAATGGCTGACTGAAAAGACAGAAAACATGTCACAGTGAAGCTCTTAGAATGTTCAACACCCTCAGTGAGCTTGTCTACAAACTGCTCATAAAACAAGCTTACACTTCTCTCCATAATTCTGATTATGCCCTAGTATTAAGTATTCTACCATATTTAATTAACAAATTAATCACTGTCAATGGCTGATAACATATCAAGTTCATTAAAATTTCACATGTCCCTCTATTTTCAAACCAGAAGGTACTGATATCTCTAATCAGTGTGGCAGGAACTGGAGTTAAAAGTTATCTTTTCACCCAGAAGAGCAAACAAAAATCCTTCATTGATTAAATCATTAATGGTGCTCTCCTGCTGGTAATATTGGTTCCTTCTGCTTACTAACATATAGATTATGAAGGACATTATCTTTAAAGTCAATGTTTAAGCATCTGGACCACTGGCAAAGACAGCAGAATAAATATATGTTTATGTAAGTGTTCTATCCCCCCTGGACAGCACACATGTCCAAAAACTGAGCGAAAAATGATTTATGATGAAACTAATAAGAGCCACAATCCCACGGCACAGTCCCTGGGAGTGTGCCTGGCAGAGTAAGCAAAAGATACACAAATACATTCTGGAAAAAGATTGATTTCAGAAACCCTGAAAAATTTAGACCAAAAGGCTTAGTCCTCAAAGAAAAAAGGTATCAAAGAGGACTGAAATAATGGGCTAAATTAAAAAAATAAAAATATGAAAGAAGTGAAAGCAATCCATTAGGTTTTTTTTAAAAAAAAAACAAAATCGGTGAAATGGAGGATAAGACTCAAGAGTGGAAAGATCATGGATGAAGGAAGACAAGGAGATGAAAGTCATAAAAAAAAGATAAATGTGGAAAATGGGTAACACAACACTGATAGAGAAACACATTTCTGAAGAACAGAACAGTACAAAATGATAAAAATGTAATAAGGCCCAAAATGTGGCTAGTTAAAGCTGTTTACCAGAAAAAGGCAAGACAACCACCAACCCTGAGCTATACTGAAACAAAGTTACAAAATATCAAGGATAAACAAGCAACCATGCCAAACAAGCAGGTTGTCTACAAAACTGAAAGAAAAATCCACCTGTACTCAAGGACTTCAGAGAACCAGCAGATATAGATAATAAAGTCTCTAAAGAACCTATGGGTGACAGAATGTGATTCAAGATACTGATAGCCAGCCAAGCTATTATTGTAAGCAATGGCAATAGAAAGAATGTGTAAGAGCATCTAATTGAAGCTGTAATTGAATCTACTAAAACACAGAACCATCAGCTTCCAAATGTAGAATCTTTGTACAAAAAGGCTGGCAGCAGGCACTAATCTCATTCAAATATAAACTCTACTCATGACCTACACTAGTCTAAATTTGTCCATTTTACAAGGCAAAAGCGCCTAATCCACTTGTCTCCTCTAACTGTGTCAGAATGGAAACACACCAAAGAAAACCTTTCCTGAGTATAACTGCCTTACATTACAGAAAACTGCTGATTTACAGATCATCCTCGAGGATTAATATGCCCAATAAATTCCTCTAAAGAGATCATATTGTTCAGAGCACTGGCCTAGGAACAGGAAGCCCCAAGCACTGACTTTGGTTCTGCTATTCACTTGGCATGTCTCCTTGGCAAGAAACTTAACTGCTTTGGAATTCACATGACAAATAAAAGCTACTTTGCACAGTCTACCTCATGGATCCCATGGGGTGCTGGATATTAAGTTCTTTGGAATCTCTAAGGAGGACTATAAAACCATGTCACTAGGTAGAAAGAAGCCTTTGTATTATGACACCAAACTAGATATTCCAAGACAGCAATGAATCACATGACTCATGTGGATCCATTTCTAATTCCTGTCACTTCACCACATTTTAAAGACATCTCTTAGCACTACAAAAAGAAATTCAGTATACTGCCCAAAATCATTACCAATTTGAAGTTATGGATATCTGAACAACTTAGAAAGATGTTTCCACACCCACTATTCCAAGTTTCTATTAGTTTTCATCCTTTGACTCAACAAATACATATTAATACAAATACCTACTACATGCCAGGTAGTATTTCAAATAGTACACATGACTCCCAAATACTTAAGAGTATAAACTGGAGGGCATTATGGAGAAAGGGGGAAGAATTCAGCTGAAAATGGGTCAACATTAATTTGTAAATATATAGAAATTCACAGAGTGAGGGGGACATGCTTAAGCACAGAGGACCATGCCCCATCAGTAGAAAAAGATACACAAACATGCCAGTCGAGGGGAAAATAAACATTGAGAATGCAGGATGTTCCTCAAACTCTTCTTGTGGTTGGTTTAGGGCTGAGGTTAAATTACTAATGACAATAAGACAGGAACAGCTGGAATGTACTAGGCTTAGATGGACACGTGTTAAGTCCAAGAATGTTAGTGAAGGCCTGTGGATTAAATCCTTAAGACATTTAAACAAAAGCTGGCTTTTCAAAAAAAAAAAACTTAGTAAGAATATGACAAAGCTTTTCTATGCTATAACTAATCCTTATGTGGTATTTGTTGTGGGAGTGCAGCAATCAGTGGGCAGCCTTCAAACAATAAAAACAGTACTGAAGCAAGTCAACAGATACTGCAATATGACTCTGCAATATGACTCTGTTGTCTCCTTTCTCCTACAGTCAAACTTGCAAGTGTTTAGGAAGATGGCTGGAAATTGACTCAGTAAGATATGGACATACTGTGCTGTTTCTAAGGCAGTCAGGGTCTTTAAATGTAAAGGACCATTATGTTCATAGCCTTTCCTCATAAGAAAATAGTCATACAGCTTAACCTTCAAGACCCTGACTTAGCCCTGTGAGCAGTGAGTCTCTGTCATCACTCTCTCTGAAGTTTATCAACATTCTTTTTGCTTGACTATGTCAGCTCTGTAATGAGGTCTTTATAAAGACCAAAAGGAGTTACCAGGGACTCAAGTAATACAAGGAACTGAAGGAAAATCAGATGCTGTGTGACTCAAAGAAAGTTACAACCGAGCCAACCTCAGCTAAGCTGCAACAAATCTCTGAGGCAAATGCCTTCACTGTGGTGGCAGTGGAGACAACTACAGTAATGGACAAGTTACAATTTTTTAAAAGAGGAAGTCTTGTTATGCAACCCAGGCAATGATCATGATTCTCCTGCCTGAACATCTAGAGCACTGAGATTTCAGGTGTATACTACCATGCCTGGCTACAAAACTAAAACTTCTAAATCTGGATTCAATATTGAAAAACTGGACAGAAACATCTATAAATCCAGTAAATGAAAGCAGTAGTCAGAGAGGATGACATTCACATGAAAAAATATAATGAACAGAGAAACACATACCTAGGAGCTGATTAAGCTAGGTGTTGGTTTGCATCCAGACTCTTAGATAGCTTCTATTATTAAGGATAAATACCATCATTTTTCTTTCCTTACCACAGGTCCTCTGCTAATTCCTACTTCTAACTTTTAGCAAAAGAGATTCTAAAAATCAGATTGAGGACCAGGTAGCAGTGGCACACACCTTTAATCCCAGTACTCAGGAGGCAGAGGCAGGCAGATCTCTACAAGTTTGAGGTCAGCCTGGTATACATAGTGAGTTCCAGGACAGTCAGAGCTGTTACACAGAGAAACCTTGTCTCAAAAAATCAAAAACAAAACTGGATAAAAGTAATGACGATGAAAATTATCAAGATCTATAACATTTTCCAAAATAAACTAGAATGTTTGCCTCTGATATTCTGTTTTACAGCAAGTCAAGTACATCACAAAGGCACTTCTAGTTCCTAAAATGATTACAAGAGGAATTTCATATGGCAAAGAAACAGTAACAGCTTTAACAGAAACACACAACTGCATTTCCCACTCTTTATAAGTCTGATGTTGACTAGAAGGTAGTTTTTCACTTAAAATCTTTCAAACCAAGGTGTTAAGTGAGAAATTCCAAGACAACTTTTAGAGTGCTTTAATCGATGGAACAGAAGTATGCAAATGAACTTTAAAGTAAAAATAATACAAATGAATAGGTTCTAACATGAAAGTACCACACCTCACACTGAGAATACAGTCAGATGGAAGTCAGCAAAAGTCTAAATCAGTGAGTGAAGTGGGAATGCATATAAGGACAGGAAGAACCCTGGAACTGTATTTTCAAGATGTACTCCACTGATGCCTTCCACTCCCAGACTCCCCAGGCCCTAGCTGGAGGTCACAAACCACAACAGTAGATCTGCTGTATTGGAATGAGCAAGCTCAGACTCTTGGGAAGACTTCAGACACTAAACTCCATGACAAGATATACAGTATAGGGTAAGAGCGCTAAGGAGGTTCTGGGCTCTCCTGTGATGGGTGCAAATGATGCCACAGAAAGACGCCATGAAAAATTGCTCAGGTTACAACTTTAGTGGAAGATACAAGTGGATTAACTATAGGAAGGGCTCCATGGAAACACTGAGCCAATATAAAGGAAGCAACATATTCAAGCATTGGGAATAACAATAGTGCCACGGTTAAGAGTTGGTAGAATAAGGGTCTCTGGTTAACTTGCAGAAGAAGATAATCTTTCTTCAGAGACGACCACAGCACTCGATTTTCTACAAAGTTCTATTAGTCTTGATCTTGTCCCTATGAAGAAAAGAATCCATAGAGAGCTCATGAGTATAACCCTTCTCTTTTAACTAAAACTTACTCAGAAAATTTATAGTGATAATTCCAAAACCTTTGCCTTAACTCAGAATTATTTTCTATAGTTACCACAGAAAAAGCAGCAATCTATTACTTACATAAACTTTATAACAGTTCTTTACTCACAATTAAAAGTTTCATTAGAAACTGGGCGTGGTGGTGCATGCCTTTAATCCCAGCATTCAGGAAGCAGAGGTAGGTGGACCTTTGTGAGTTAGAGGGCAGCCTGATCTATATAGTGATTTCCAGGACTGCCAGGGTTATGTAGAGAGATGCTGTCTCAAATAAGTAAGTAAGTAAGTAAATAAATAAATAAATAAATAAATAAAGCAATAAAAAATTTCAATTACAACCATAAAATGGCTGCTAATGCATATGGAATTACTTCTTGGCCTGAGAAAGTCTCAATTTAGAACAGTGGTGAGGGTTTTAAACTTTGAATATACCCCAAACCGCACTGTATACTTCAAAAGAGTAAACTGTATGGTATGTGAACTATATTTCAATAAAACTGCTAGGGTTAGATTAGGGTTAGGGTTAGCTCAAGGTTAGGGGTTAGAGTAAGGGTTAGTTAAAACTAAATAATATCCTTTTCAGACCTCTTTCCATATAGGCACTGATTTTCCCATTCCCTACATGTTTAACCTTTATTTGTAGAGCTTAACGTTTTTTCACTTGCCAAGGTAACTACTTTATTATTTCACTTTTGCTAAAATTTGTTTGAAACATGTTGGAAATTAGGACTGATCCTTAATTAGCACACACTATATTAAGTAATTTACTGTGGGTCTCGCTATGTAACTCTACCAGACCTGGAATTTGCTATATAGATGATGGCTGGCCGCAAAGTCATAGATTCATCTGCCTCTGCCTCTCATAACCTGGGATTATGGCATGAGCCACCATGCCCAGATAAAGTATGGCCTTGAAAACAGCTTTCAGTTAAAATCACCATTCCACACCCCCAAATGATTCTTACGAAAGATGGCTTCTGGTACTACCCAAATTACTCCATGTAGCTGAGTAACAGTTTGAATTAACTGGCTACAAGGATGACCAATATGAAATCTGGCTTACATACAGACTGAAAATGGGATTGCAGTAAACTGATCTGATACAGTAAACTGATCTGATACAGAAAGAGATACAATCAAGCCTTGTGTAGCTGGTCAAAGCACAACTCCTCCCTGGGAAAAAAATCACCCACTGTGGGAGCAGCAGGGATAACTTTCTTGCTACTATCATATGACGGATGATGAATGACTTAATCCCCTTGAAATTTCATGTTTTGAGATGAGCTGCATGGAGACCCACTATGTGTTTCTTCAGGAAAGATTAAAGAGCAGTACAGATGTGTGTTATCCTTTATACCACATATTAAAAAACATCAGCATAGCCCTTCACAGTTGATGGCTTCTGGTGGGGGTTGGGGTAGAGAAATAAAGAACTCAGTTATCTTTAATGGTTTGGCCACTGGGAGTTTGACCATGCTCCAATGTTTATATGGGCAACACAAATTGGACTTGCTGTATTTTTTTCTTTTTTTTGGGGGGGAAGGGTGAGAGGGTGGACCTGGGAGGAATGGGAAGTGAGTATGATCAAGGTGCATAGTATGAAATGCCCAAATAATCAATAGGTATATTATGTGGGGGGAAAGGAGAGAAAAAAAGAATTTACTGTATGGTATAATACTGCAAAGCTATATAAATTACACTTGCCTACAAATGTTTCTGTTCTGTCATATTAAGGATGTTAAGAGTCAAGGTTTGTATGGTAAGAAGTGTATATAAGGAAAACACATTAGTGAGAAACAATGCTAAAATAAAATGAAACTATCAACAAGAACTTAGGTATCTGGGTATATAGATACATACATGTATGTGTGTGTTGAGAACCTCTATCCAGAAAAGGGGCTTAGAAAAGGTGTAATGAGATCTGTTAAAAGGAACCATAAAGTGGCTGATTGCAGGACAGGGGCATAGAATGTGAAGCTGAGCTTAGGATATCGTGTTAGGCAAGAAAGTAGGACAACTTTCAAAAATTAATGTACTTTTGTCAACAGAAGATAGAAAACCAAGCTCAAAATAACTCTCATTATCCAAAAGTGTGCCAACTTAAGCAACAATGACTGCTGTTGTAATTTAAGAAAAGCATTGAGAGAAAGACGCCATGCAACAGGGTACTAACATAGGGATTTTTTTATTAGGGAAAGGGATCATAAAAAGGGAAAGGGGGGCACTGGCCTCCGGAGATAGAAGCAGCAGGAGAGAGCAAAGAGGGGCAGGGGGGGAGAAAAAGAAAGACAGAGGATGATGGGGGTGGGCAGGGCCCTTTTAAAAGGGAACATAATGAATGTGCACAGGTGTCTGCAGCTGAGGGCGTATCCTGTCAGAACCCCAAAGACAGGGCAGTACAGATGCCTAAATACTAACAACTGGGGCATGCAACATCATGAATGGATTTCACAGGGAGCAAAGATGACAAGGGTGAATGTTTACATGTCTCTTTTGTTCTATGATTTAAAAAATATAACACCTCCGGTGATGGTCAGAAAACATGTTCTATGGTAGAGAGAACAATCTGGCTAGAAAGGAGTCTTTCAGTTGGAGAGAGAAATGTAAATGTGTGTCAAGCCATACACTTCAGATTTGTAGACTTTCCTACTATATGTTATACTTCTATAAAAAATAAGTTCTGAATATAATGCATAAAACAATAAAATACTATTAAATCTACAATGCTCAAAAAGACAAAACAAATCTGGGTGGTAGTGGCACACACCTTTAACCCTAGCATTCACAAGGCAAAGGCAGACAAATCTTGAGTTTAAGGCCAGCCTGGTCTACAGAGTGAGTTCTAGGACAGCCCAGGGCTGTTACACAGAGAAACCCTGTCTCTAAAAACAAAAGAAAAAAAGACAAGTCCCAAAACTCCTGTACCATCCTTTAAGGCAGTGGTTCTCAGCCTGTGGGTTGTGATCCCTGGGTGGCAAACCAGACTTCCACAGGGGTCACAAATCAGATATCCTGCATACCAGATATTTGCATCATGATTCATAACAGTAGCAAAATTAGTTATGAAGTAACAATGAAAATAATTTTACCATTAGGGGATCACTAAAACATGAGGAACTGTTTTAAAGGGTCGCAACATTAGGAAGGCTGAGAAGCACTGCTTTAAGGTAACTTTTAAAACTCAACTGCTTACCTTACAAAGTGGGTAAAAGAGAATTGAATTTTCCCTTTAAGTTTAAAGGAAAAAGTTAAATACATATTAGAAAAACTGTATTTTATGGTATGGCCTTTGCTAATGAGAAAAAAATGTACTTTATAGAGGAACATCAGTCAATAGTTACCAAAGAAGGGTTTTTTAAGAGATTATGTCATTTTACAAAGACGAGTAAAATACTGACTTAGGGACAATTTGACTTCCTTTCTTCCTTTCCAATGGGGGGGGGTTATTTCTTTCTCTTGCCTAAATGATCTGGGTAGAAATTCCTATACTATGCTGAATAAAATTGGTAAAAGTGACTGTCCTTACAGGACAAAATGGTCAACTAAGATAAAAAACCAATAGGTAAATGGTTGATAGGTAAGTATATTTTTGTAAAGTGGCTCACTCCAAAAACAAACAACAACAAAATTGAATTACTTTCATGTAACATGAAATTACTTTCTAGTGAAAAAAGGCTGAATTATACTACAGAACAGTGGTTCTCAACCTATGGGTTGTGACCCCTTTGACAAACTTCTATCTCCAAAAAATATTGACATTATGATTCATAACAGTAGCGAAATTACAGTTATGAAGTAGCAATGAATATAATTTTATGGTTGGGGGTTACCATAACATGAGGAACTGTATTAAAGGGTCACAGCATTAGAAAGGTTGAGAACCATTTCAGTAGAGAGATCAGATAGCCATCACCTAAATTATGGTCTACTCTTAGCATCACCAATAATGGATCAACCAGAAGTCATTTATCTAAACATATAATTCTGCAACAGTACTGATGGAGTATTCCAGCAGGGAAAAAAATAAAAAAGCTCCACTGAGAGCCTTTATAACAACTTTGATTTCCATAAAATATGGGAATAAGGAACAAACTAAATGATACTTCAGAGAAGAACTAAACACATCAAGGGGGAGATGTTTTGTTGACACGGTCTTTCAACAGCAACACTTTCGATGTTAAGAACAACTTGAGACTATCCACATATGTCATGTGGTCCTGCAATGGATACCAGTTTGGAAAATTCAGTAAATTCTTAACAAGATGAAAGCTACTGACATGGAAAAGTAGAGATAGTTAAATGAAACAAATGCATGTTGTTCAACAGTATGAAAAGTGATCTCACTTGGAGAAAATGCATATATATGTACGAATAGCATATTATTTAAAATAATATACACAAATCCGTACCCATAGCAATGTTTGAGCTGTGGAAATACAATGATTTTTCCCTTCTTCTTTCATTTAATATTTCCTAGGTTTTTTGTTTTGTTTTATTTGTAACACATAAACTAATAAAAAATTAGTTTAAATTGAAAACTGGAGTCTATCGCACAGTGAAGCATTATTGGAAACCAAAAACTAGATTGTTTTATAAACATATGTAGTGGCACTTTACTAATATAAAATAGTGATAGCTGTTCTATGAGTAACAACTTTTTAATAATTTACTCTAATAAACTACACATAATACAGAACTCACTACCAGCTACTTTTAAGTGAACAGCTTAGTTGTTTGGGCATACTCATACTGTTGCAAAACATTACCATTACCTATACCTAGAACTTTTTCATGACCACAAACAGAAAACTTGTACTCATTAGCAATTCTTTGTTTCACCTCCCCCGAAGTCTTGGTATCCACCCTTCTATTTTCTGACTCTCTGAAATGATTGCTCTAGGCATCTCATAAAAGTCAAACAGCGCTATTTATGCTTTTGAGTATGGTGTGTTCCACATCAAATAATGACTTCAAGATTCATCTACACTGAAGCATGTTTCAGAATTCCCTTCTTTTTAAAGACTAAATAATGCTTCACTGTGTAAATCGACTCCATTTTGATCCACTAAAATTCTGTAAACTTTTTTCTGTCATGCTCTAAGACTAACAGCAAACTGAAAACTTAATTGCTTTAAAACAACATTCACACAAGAATAAGCCCCCGCTCACTGTCAATACCTCCAAAGCACATGGATTCCTAGGACAGTGGGCATTCCATTGACACCATGATTCTAGCTACTCAATTCTTGTTCTCCTCCTCAGCATAAAAATCTTTCTCCAGTCTTTCTTTCTCTAAGGATCACTTTGCTTTTCCAGTGATAAAACCACAGAGAATGTATAGCACAAAATATTGGTCAGTTGTCTGCCTGGTACTTTCTGGAGACAAATCATATATTTTATAATGGGAATCAAAGTGGTTTCTTACTGTTTAGCCTTGTATTTTGATGCATCCCTTGGTTCGCTACTGGGATTGCTCCAGTCATCAGCTTCAGGAGTTGTCTTGTAATGGCGCCATGCAGACTTATTGAAAACGGGCAGCCTCTCAAATGATTCACTTGAAAGGGCCTATTAGAAAAAAGTACATACACCAAAGGTCTAGGATACTATTTTTCTCACGTGAAAAATCACAGAATGTACTCTTTTAAACACCAGTAAACATGTTTGCTTTTGAAATATTAAAATTTATCTTACAGATTTAGTTAGACTGGTCAGGAGAAAGATCCTGAACCCTTTCTAAATGGATGAAATCATTTGCTAACTCCCTCACTCAAAATCAGTATTGAAAACACAGTCAATACTGGTTTGTAATACTCAATAGTTTTTGACAGTATGTGCTTACATCAAGCATTTTTATTCAACAGGCAACTGCTATCCTAAAAAAACCCAGTAGAAATAAAGTCTCATGAACATTTGCCATCAAGTGATTTTAAACATCACATCATTTAGGGGCTGGAAATGTAGCTCAGTAGAAGAGAGCATGTATAGTGTCATGCAGGAGGCTCTGGGCTCCATCCCCAGCACCAGAGTAAGCAAACAAACCCCATGTTGAGATATACTGACATTCAAATAAGGAGTGAAATTGTGATATCATTGCCAGTAATATACTATGCATGGTTAAAAAGAATGAGCCAGTTCTACATGAATCTTTGTGGAAATTTGTGCAAGATATATTCCAAAGAAACAAAAACAAGCTACTGAAATGACTTTCAGATTAGTTTTTAAAAATCTATTTATAAATGCATAACCAACTCTATTATAGCCTTTTGATGTTACTATTTTTTGAGATAGGGTCTCACTATATACCCCTAGCTGGCTTGGAACTTCCTACATGGACCAGGCTAGCCTGCCTCTGCCTTCCAAGTGCTGAGCTTAAAGTTGTATGCTACCTCACCCAGTTTGTTTTACTTTAGTGATAATGGAATGGTACCCAAAGCCTTGCACATGCTAGGAAAGATTTACACCACTGAGCTATATTCCCAACCCCTATAAATATAGAATCAACTCTAGGAGGATCCATACAAACAAAAAAGTACCTCTCACTAAGTGTGGCTTAGTGCCAGCAGTGAAACACTTCATTTCTCATTTTTGAAGTTTTTAAATGTTACTATATGTCTCTACTACCCATCGAAATAATATACCAAAATTCTGGAATTCAGAAATAAAAGTCTAACACCACCAATAAATGAGAAAAACAGTGTTATAGAGAACTTGTTTATTAGATGAGCATTTTAAATGGCCATTATTATGATTTTGTTGATTTAAGAAATAATGTACAATGTAAAAGTTCCCTTAAAGCATTTTTGTATATAATTTGTTTTTGCTGAGTCTCTTCCCATCTACCTTTTCTCTTCCATCCCCAAGTCTGTCCCCTGTGTACCCTTTCATCTCTAGTAGTTTTCTGCTTTTATGTGCCCTTCTACTATCCTCCTACCCATCCTCCAAATCTCTTTTCTGTCATGGACCTCTTTATAGTTTTGTGAACTATACTGATGCTCATTTCCATATATGTATGTATGTAAATTAAAAGCTAACATCTGCATGAGAGCAAGTATTCAGTATTTGTCTTTCTGGGTCTGGGTTACCTCACCTGATATAGAGATCTACGGATCTTTTTATATAAACATATTATCATTATTGAATTCTTTATTTTTATTTTTTTGGATTTTTTTGAGACAGGGTTCCACTGTGTAGCTCTGGACATCCTGGAACTTGTTCTGTAGAGGAGGATGGCCTTGAACTTAGAGATCCTTCTGTCTCTGCCTCCTGAGTGCAAGGATTAAAGGCAAGTGCCACCAACACCCAGCTTCATTACTGAATTCTTGTAACTTGAGAAATTAAAGTAAAATACTAGAAAGCTTCAGATTATTGGATATCAGTCTCCTTTTAAGCTAGGTCTTTCGAGGAACATATAATTTTGAAAAACCACAATTTAGATCTATGGTTGTAAAATCAAAATTTTAAGTTTTATACCTCTATGCTTCCTATTTTGTTATGTCTTGGCATAAAATCAGTCATGAGGATAGCTTGGTTTCACAAATCTGATCTCAAGATAAGAAGATACAGTGGTCTTCTCGACTAGCTATGGGTACTTCCAGCTTTAAAAGTCAAGAGGCCTTTATACTAACAGAAACAAAACACAGTACCTTCAGATAAATAACAGCATCGGTACCCACTCCTTCCATGGAATACAGTTTTAGATCTCCCTGAAAATATCTGGCATACAGTCGAGAAATTGGCAAGCCATAACCAAATCCAGCCTATTAAGAAAAGAAAATTAATAGGATGAGAGTGGCACAAATGCTTCATTAGGGACCACGAATAGAAGATTAAAACAAATCCTTGATCTGAATTGAAATCAAACGAATTAGTAACTCAGTCTTTATAATGTTGTGTCTATAATCTATGGCCAAAATTCCCCATTTCTATTTTAAAAAAACCCTCAAGTTTGGGTAACAAAAATTCCCTTTTGATTAACTTTTTAAAAAGCATTTAAAATAAAATTTTACCTGTCTCTCTATATAACTATGGCTGTCCTAGAATTCACTCTGTAGACCAGGCTGGTCTCAAACTCAGAGATCCTCCTGTCTCTGCTACCCAGAGTGCTGGGATTAAAGGCATGCACCACCAATGCCTGGCAAAAATTGAAATTTAACAATAACAAGACTAGGTCACTGAAAAAAATTCTCTTGAGGTTCCTTCCTAAGGGTTTGGAAAAGCTACAGTATGTTGATACAGTGAATGGGTATTTTTAAAAATAAAATGACTACCTTCCTATATTTTGATGTCATCAAATTGGCAGGCAATACTTCTTTTAAACTGAAGATCACAGATCTTGGCAAGAATAAGAACAATGCTACTAAAGGCAGTAACTTTGTGGTTGGCCACAGGTGGTCTTGGCAAGAATAAGAACAATGCTACTAAAGGCAGTAACTTTGTGGTTGACTGCATGTGTGTATGGGGAGATGCTATCTGGTAAGTTTTAGCACTTGGGATTAAACCTGAATCAGGAAGAGGGGCCTTAAGGAAAGAGAGCTATGATCACACAGGCTTCTGACTCTGACAGATCTAAGTTGAAACCTCCATTTCTGTATGACTGAGCAGTTTGTTCAACTTCTTTAAGACTTTTCTCACCATGAAATGAAAAGCTTATCTCTGAGCTGATAAGAATCCCATGGTATAACAAATGCTGCCTCTGTTCAGGATCTATCACACAGTAAAACTCAGTAAGATAGCACAGTTTTGCTGACAAACATGAGGACCTGAATTCAATACTGGATCCACATGGAGATAGAAGCAGTGAATTGACTCTACAGATTTAACTTCTGACCTCCCGAAGTATCAAAGAATTAACAGGCATAGTAGATACTCTCAAAACAGGAAATTTAGACATGTGGAGATCAGGCTGTACCATGTTCTAAGTTGTTTCATACTGTGCAAAACAGTAGCTTTCAGGCTGTGCCTTGTCGTGGACACATCTGCTTTACAAAGTATCATTTGGCTCCATTGCATAATGCAAAGGCAGGATGGTTCCACACCTTACAATGCACACAGACACCATCTCCCATCAGAGTACATCCTCCTGCACCATCAATAGGACACAGACTAGTAACATTTCTAGTGTAAAAAGGTACCACCTATAAATTTATCTAAGTAACCAGGGAACATATGAATACATTGGGTGTATTAAAAATCATTTCAGGTGCTAGGGCTGTAGTTCAGTGGGTAGAGTGCCAGCCTATCACACCGAAGGCCCTGGGTTCAGTTCCACAGCACCACCTAAACTGAGATGGCACACAGGTCTGTCCTCCAAGCAGGAAGATCAAGAGCTCAGGGTCATCCTAGCTTCAGCCAGCTCTCAGCCCACCTGGGTGACATCAGCCTCTGCCTCAAAACCACCATCACTTGTGACAGTGAGACAGCTCAGTGCATCAAAGCACTTGGTGTGCAATCCTGACAACCAAAGTTCAATCCCTGGATCCAGCAAACAGGTAAAGGGAGAGAATTCAACTCCATAAAACTCTCCTGACTTCCACACACACATACAATAAATAAAACTATAAAAGTCTATCTTCAGGGCTATAGCAATGGCTCAGCAGTTATGTGCACTTGCTGCTCTTGCAGAAGACCCTGGTTCATTTCCCAGCACAAATGTGGTTGCTCACAACCATATAACTCCAATTCCAGAGGATCTGATGCCCTCTTCTGATCTTCACTGGTAATAGGCATGCATGTGGTACACATACATACATATATGCAGGCAAAACACTTACAAACATAAAACAATTTAAAATTTGTTCAATTAAAAAACAATGTATAAAGGAAAACACAGATATGTAAAACTAAGCCATTTGGAAAGAGAATTATTTTCTAGTACTACACAGCCATGTACCCACTTTAAAACAGAGGACAGTTTGTTAACTGGGAGAGATGTCAATAGATGCATTTCTTCAAGAGCAGACACAACAATATATCAGAGGTCCAAAGACATCCAGCACAAGCTCTACCATTAATTTGCTTTGACCCTCTTTCCCTCATCTATATAATGGAAGGTGGATAAATAACAGTCTTTATAGTCCTATTCTCCCCACCCCCCAAAAGAACCAAACAAAATACATGACATAAAGAGCTATCCTCAGGATGCTATTTTAAGACCTGGAATAGATAATCCATATTCTTTTAAACAACTGGTAAAGATGCAAAATTTGTACCAGACCCTGGTCAAGCTAATACTGTTCCAAATTGATCTTTTATGAATTTTCTTGAATCCTGTATAAATGACTTCCTCAGTTTTCCACATGCTGAGTTAACAAACTCTGCCTCAAATAACAATGCAAAGTGTTTGATTTTATTCATACAAATAAAATATAATCTTATGTGCTTATCAGTCAGGTAGGACTTTAAAATGAAACTTAATTTATACCCTGAGCCATTTTGCAGACTGATAGATACATTGCTGTGTTTAATGACAAAGGGTTCAATTGTTGTTTGTCAATTAGAAACACTCAGCAGGGGAAGAAAGTGTGGCCCTACCAGGAATAAATGCTGCCATGGTAACCAGAGGCATTTCTCACTGACTGAATAAGGCTGAAGGTTATTTCTAAAGTGCTACAGAGAGACCTCTGAAAATACATACATTACCTATATGTTTTGTGCTTAGATTATGAAAATTTCAATGTTTTCATAATTCCATAAAATAAATATGTTAATTATATAAACAAATTTGACAGTGGTGACCCAAAGGCTCTGGGTGACTTAGGCCTATAAGGTATGCAACACTAAAGTATCTCCTACTAAGCTGTAGCCAAGCACTCTACGTGGTCCCTTTGCTCACCCATGGATAATGTCCACTCTCTGAGGATGGTGCATGGTGGTAAGTGACCCTCCGGCAGAAGTCTGGTCACAGAGAAAAGCTTTTTCACAGTGTATTTGGGAGTGAAACACTCATCTTGGAGTGTTTCTTAGACAAATTAAGAAAACACTCTCAGTCCAAAGAACTTGCAAACTAAATAGCTAAAGCAAAAAGGTACCTCTGATCCCACCCATACCAGAAACAACCTCACTCAGGTAAGGCCAGTACAACCGCCTGAAATGGGCAACTCTCTATTCCTACATTAAAGACCTTTCCTTCTGTAGCACTTTGCCATGCTTACCAAGGGAGCAGCTCTTGTAGGCTCCAGGCTGGGTCGAGGAGCAGTGGAATACATGTAGTTAAAAAGACGGTCTATTTTTCGAAGTGGGACTCCACCACCTAAGTCACTTATCTGCAGTGCACAAAATGTTAAAAATAAAAGGGGAGTCAACCTGTGCTTATGGAGGTGATGAGCGTTCATTAAATAAAACACATGCTACAAGGCTCTACTGAATAAGGACTTTGAGCTGCCATGGGGATGCCAAATGGTTCCTTTGGGGATGGTGTAAACAAAGGAGACAGAGTAGTGCAACAAAATCAGACAGGCTTAGTATTGAAGTCCTGCTCATAAACATTCAAGGAAGTAACTTAATCCAAGAATCCGGCACAATATAGTCATGGCTCCATAAATGACGGACGCATCGAGAAATGTGCCATTAGTCAATGTTATCAGGCAAATATCTTAGAAGGTGCTTATACAGAATTACTACAATGTCACCAGATAATAACATCTTATTGGACTACTACTATACATGTGTTCAGTCTATTGCTGAGAAAGCACTGATACATGACTTTATTTACAAATAACATGCTCAAGGAATACCAATTTTCTTTCCTTCCCTCTCATAATATTAAATGCATATTATTAAATCAACTGATGATTGAAGTAAAAATGCAAATAAAAGGTTACCTTAATGGACAAGTCTTCTTTACCAAGAGTAACGAGAGTTTTAACAGCTGGGTAGCCCTCTTTTCTATTTTCATGTAGTTCAACTGTTGCTCTCATCGAGTTCTAAAACAATAAGCTCTTTTTGAAAACCACGTTTCTGACTCACAAAGTACAATTCAACTAAATTAAATGTATTGATTAATTTTGGTGCTTAGTAGAACCCAGAGCCATGTACATGCCCTCATCTATATAATGGAAGGTGGATAAATAACAGTCTTTATAGTCCTATTCTCCCCACCCCCCAAAAGAACCAAACAAAATACATGACATAAAGAGCTATCCTCAGGATGCTATTTTAAGACCTGGAATAGATAATCCATATTCTTTTAAACAACTGGTAAAGATGCAAAATTTGTACCAGACCCTGGTCAAGCTAATACTGTTCCAAATTGATCTTTTATGAATTTTCTTGAATCCTGTATAAATGACTTCCTCAGTTTTCCACATGCTGAGTTAACAAACTCTGCCTCAAATAACAATGCAAAGTGTTTGATTTTATTCATACAAATAAAATATAATCTTATGTGCTTATCAGTCAGGTAGGACTTTAAAATGAAACTTAATTTATACCCTGAGCCATTTTGCAGACTGATAGATACATTGCTGTGTTTAATGACAAAGGGTTCAATTGTTGTTTGTCAATTAGAAACACTCAGCAGGGGAAGAAAGTGTGGCCCTACCAGGAATAAATGCTGCCATGGTAACCAGAGGCATTTCTCACTGACTGAATAAGGCTGAAGGTTATTTCTAGAGTGCTACAGAGAGACCTCTGAAAATACATACATTACCTATATGTTTTGTGCTTAGATTATGAAAATTTCAATGTTTTCATAATTCCATAAAATAAATATGTTAATTATATAAACAAATTTGACAGTGGTGACCCAAAGGCTCTGGGTGACTTAGGCCTATAAGGTATGCAACACTAAAGTATCTCCTACTAAGCTGTAGCCAAGCACTCTACGTGGTCCCTTTGCTCACCCATGGATAATGTCCACTCTCTGAGGATGGTGCATGGTGGTAAGTGACCCTCCGGCAGAAGTCTGGTCACAGAGAAAAGCTTTTTCACAGTGTATTTGGGAGTGAAACACTCATCTTGGAGTGTTTCTTAGACAAATTAAGAAAACACTCTCAGTCCAAAGAACTTGCAAACTAAATAGCTAAAGCAAAAAGGTACCTCTGATCCCACCCATACCAGAAACAACCTCACTCAGGTAAGGCCAGTACAACCGCCTGAAATGGGCAACTCTCTATTCCTACATTAAAGACCTTTCCTTCTGTAGCACTTTGCCATGCTTACCAAGGGAGCAGCTCTTGTAGGCTCCAGGCTGGGTCGAGGAGCAGTGGAATACATGTAGTTAAAAAGACGGTCTATTTTTCGAAGTGGGACTCCACCACCTAAGTCACTTATCTGCAGTGCACAAAATGTTAAAAATAAAAGGGGAGTCAACCTGTGCTTATGGAGGTGATGAGCGTTCATTAAATAAAACACATGCTACAAGGCTCTACTGAATAAGGACTTTGAGCTGCCATGGGGATGCCAAATGGTTCCTTTGGGGATGGTGTAAACAAAGGAGACAGAGTAGTGCAACAAAATCAGACAGGCTTAGTATTGAAGTCCTGCTCATAAACATTCAAGGAAGTAACTTAATCCAAGAATCCGGCACAATATAGTCATGGCTCCATAAATGACGGACGCATCGAGAAATGTGCCATTAGTCAATGTTATCAGGCAAATATCTTAGAAGGTGCTTATACAGAATTACTACAATGTCACCAGATAATAACATCTTATTGGACTACTACTATACATGTGTTCAGTCTATTGCTGAGAAAGCACTGATACATGACTTTATTTACAAATAACATGCTCAAGGAATACCAATTTTCTTTCCTTCCCTCTCATAATATTAAATGCATATTATTAAATCAACTGATGATTGAAGTAAAAATGCAAATAAAAGGTTACCTTAATGGACAAGTCTTCTTTACCAAGAGTAACGAGAGTTTTAACAGCTGGGTAGCCCTCTTTTCTATTTTCATGTAGTTCAACTGTTGCTCTCATCGAGTTCTAAAACAATAAGCTCTTTTTGAAAACCACGTTTCTGACTCACAAAGTACAATTCAACTAAATTAAATGTATTGATTAATTTTGGTGCTTAGTAGAACCCAGAGCCATGTACATGCTATGCACATACTCTACCACTGAGCTAGGCCTCATCTTGAAAAAAAAAACAATTTCAAAAAAGAAAAAGGACAAGATTACTTATATGTGATAATTTTTTGTGAAGCTACTATTAATAAGATTTATGTGGATTTTTTTCTCCTACTGAACTTGACTATCCATGGATTTCTAGCAAAGAAGGTTTTCCTGATATTCTATTTTGCATTTAATTGTTAACCCTTCTTTCCTTCTTTTTTTTGGCTCTAGGGATTTTTGAGAGAGGGGAGTGGTGAAGACAGGGTCTCACTATGGAGACTAGGCTGGTTTTGAATTCAGAGACAAACCTGTCTTTACCTGTCCAGTGACTGGATTAAAGGCACATGTCACCATGCCTGTTGGCTTTAGGGTTTAAAATTATTCAGCCCAAACCAAAGGAAAGTTTGTATCAAATGAAATGGGGTTGCAGAGGCTGATTTGTGCACTTTTATTTATTTATTTATTTATTTATTTATTTATTTGTTTGTTTGTTTATTTATTTATTTATTTATTTATTTTTCGAGACAGGGTTTCTCTGTGTAGCTTTGGAGCCTGTCCTGGCACTTGCTCTGTAGACCAGATTGGTCTCGAACTCACAGAGATCCACATGCCTCTGCCTCCCGAGTGCTGGGATTAAAGGCTTGCGCCACCAATGCCCAGCTGATTTGTGCACTTTAAATTGTATTTATCAGTTGCTTTTATAAAGTACCTTACCTCTAATGAAGCTAGAAAAACTGAAGGGATTCACACTTCCCATAAAAACTAATCACTGGATTGAAAAAAAGGATAAAATATCCATTAAAAAGAAATTCTGAAAGGTCACAGATGACGAGAAAGCTCTCAACTGAATGTCTACCTTAGTGTTACACCAGTAGCATTCTTGCCCTTATGAACAAAAACAGCACAACTGATTCTTTAGGTGTTCAGTTTAGTATTTTATACATTAAAAGTGATGAATTGTTAGCTCAGATACCCTGTATGCAAAACACTGCTACCATAAATATCACTGGATACTTGGTAACAAAAGCAACAGCTTAGGCCATAGTCTAAAAAAGGTTTTTGTTTTCTTTCCTCTCTAGCTCAGGCTCCACATCTTCCTCTCCTGCCTCTATCAGGTCTTCTGAACTTATTCAAATTATGAAATGGTTACAGGATCTCTCAGGACTGGAATGACTAAGCATTAACACAATTAATGCTTTAGAATCACAGATACACAGAAATGTGTTTTTATTTGGGTACAGTAATCACCAATAAAACCTTTGCCAGGTTTGAAAACCCAAAAAGTATCTCTAATCTCCTAAATGAAAGAAAAACAGTATGGATTTGATGTGAAGTTACAAAAGTACAATTAAGTTTCAAAATCAATATGTACTAATATTCACAAAACTATACTGTACACAGCAATTTTTCATCTCACAATGTATAGATTATAAAGCCCACAGGATATCAGAAATAGACTTTTAAAGTGGTTATGCAAAATCTTTTTCTTATGCTAATCTAATGTATCCATTATGCCCAGAATCAAAGCCATTTAAAATGAAGACTTCTTCCCAAGCTTTAAAATTCCACTTACCTTGAACAGCTCAAATAGCATGTGAAACAGATGAGACGGCACATAAACCACCTGAATAGGTTTGTTTGGTGCTTTGGCTGAAAACAGAGACAAAACCATCAATGAACATGGACCCAAAGTAAGAGAATATAAAAAAAGAATGATGTTTGTATTCTATTTTCCAAGTACATAAAATGAACCCCCCATAAAAGACTAATAATACAAATTCCCACATTTAATACATAACTGAGCAAAAGCACATGCTTCAAAATCAAGCAAACACACAGTGAACTACACTGCATTCACTGTAGCTTCATGACCTTGGGAAATCAGTCGAGTTCTCTAAACTTTGTTAAGCAAAACTAGAATAGTATCGCTTGTGCCACAGTATTCTGAGCATCACACAAGAACATACAAACATCACTTGGAATTTTTCAAATCAGAAGGACAGATTTGCCATCAATTCCAGGAGTCATTTGTGAGAATATGAACCAACTGAGAAGGGGTGGTAAACTGGACTTAACAGCACTGCCATGGATTGAATCCCAACTGTTCACTGAAAGGCTCATCTAAAGGCTTGGCTAGCTGCCAGATGATTGGCTTTAGGGAAATGAATGAATGTATCAAGAGGGCTCTGACACAATACTTAATCCACCGATAGATTCATAATTTAATGACAGTTTGGGAGATGGCAGAAAATAGGAGGTGGGACCTGGTTGGAAGTAGGTTCCTGGGGCATGTCTTTGAAGAGGGTATCTTGTCACTGGCCCCTTCTTTGCTCTTTCTTGGCTGCTGTGAAGGAGCAACCTCACCTTCCACTTTCTCCTGCTGCTATGACAGTTTGCCTTGCCTCAGGCCCAAAGCAATGAGACCAAGGGACATGGATTGAAACCTTTCAAATTGTGAGCCTAAACCAAACTTTTTGATTTGCTTATCCATTATTGCAAAAAAAAAAAAAACCCAAAACACTAACACTGGCCAGGCATGGTGGCGTATACCTTTAATCCCAGCAGTGGGGAGGCAGAGGCAAGTGCACCTCTGTAAATTTGAAGCCAGCCTAGTCTACAAAATGAGTTCCAGGATAGCCAGGGCTACACAGAGAAACCCTGTCTGGAAAAACAGACAAACAAAACCAATATAAATAGGTATATGATGATAAACAGGACATAATATAGACTAGACTATGAGGTTCACATAAGTTTCTACTACAATGAAATCCTTGAATATCTACAGTATTCTCCTTGAAACAGAATCCTTGGAGGAAAATCAAAGAACCTGAACCTCATGCAAAGCACTAAGAACAGTATGTTAGAAATCAGGAAAACATCACCTTTTACAATATCCACAAGCAACATAAAATATCTTGGGGTAACACTAACCAAAAAAGTGAAAGACCTGTACAATAAGAACTTTGAGACTTTAAAGAAAGAAATTAAAGAAGATACCAGAAAATGGAAAGATCTCCCATGCTCTTGGATAGGTAGAATTAACATAGTAAAAATGGCAATCCTGCCAAAAGCAATCTACAGATTCAATGCAATCCCCATCAAAATCCCAACACAGTTTTATATGGAAAAATAAAAAG